TTTTTCTTTTTTATATTCTGTTTTTCTTTTTTATATTCTGTTTTTCTTCATTAAATACTATTATTATTATTGTAACTATTGGCAAATAATCCTATTGTAAACATCTATTATATCTACAGCAGGTCTCAAAACCCTATGATATACTCTGCATCACTATCTATCATTCTTGATATCTTAAATATAAATTTTTATCGGCACAAAAATGCAAAACTGCATTATTTAGTATATCCGAAAACGTATTTCATGCATTCAAATTTCGAAAAATGTCTAAATCTTGTTGTTAATGTCGTTCAGCACTTTTGTCCATTCCTAAAGCAGTCTGAGAAAAGAGGCTGATGCCTGTTGTCGTTGCTAGCTAGGGTCTGTTAAGGGAGAAACCTCGAAGCTTCAACTTAAAACTTATATTCACTATTTTCTTTGAACATATATATGAGTTCCACAAAAAAGAAATTTCTTACTAAATTCATCACTTGAATGATGGTAAGACCAACATCAACAATAGTTACTGTTGTTGTATTAATAACGGGTCGAGCTTCAGGCACATAACTTTCAAGTAATATCGAACGTAATCGAGATTCGTCTGAATTAAATTGAGGTACTAAATAAAGAAAAAAGTAGGTTATATGAGTAAGAGTTTTTTCTTCAATTATAATTCTGAAATTGACTAGACAATATATAATACTCTAAGATTAGTAATACCTTAGTTATTGAATAAGAAAAATCACTTATAAAGATTTGTTAATAATCAAATAATGACTTTTTTTAAAACTTCACATAGATCTATCGATTCCTCTATTCAATAAATATAATGTTTTTTTGGAGAGCATCTTCAAGTTCTCTTTAGAGATACTTCAACTTCTGATTCAATAACTATTGATACATTTTAATAATACTACAAAATATATAATACTTTTTTCGATAAACTTACTTCCATCATCATCTATATCTAAGTCATTTCCAAATGTTGCACCTTTACTTTTTCGATTAGTTATTGTTTTATCGAATTTACGATTTGTATGTTTAAGTGAACTAGCAAAAACCGATGAACTAGATGCTGAATAAACGTAAGAAATAGAATTTAAAAGAATAAAAAATAAAAATGATTGAATGAAAATATTGATATTCATTGCTTTTTTTTGATTATTTAAAACTTAAGTTGGCCGTTGTATTAAGTAACATCGTAGAAGATTCATAAAAGAAAAGCATTTCATTGAGTGTTGTAGTTCTATTTATATGTTGATCGACAAGCGTTAACTTTCTGATGTTCTTTGTTTGTGATAACATCTTTATTCTCCACTGTTCTCGAGTTTTTTGTTGTTGTCGTTCAATCAGAGATAAAGATAGAGATAGATGATCTTGAAATCCATAGATGATTCCAGAGTGCATTAGCGTTCCGAACTAACAAAAGAAAATATATAGAAAAGGAGAAACGTCAATTTGGTCTCCGATTTAGCTTTCATCATCACTCAGTTGATGTTCTCGTTGTTGTTGTTGTTGTTGTCTTCGTTCTCGATTTTCTAACACTCATTCTTAAGAATGACAACATAATGATGATGATAATGATGACGGCATGAATAGCGAAAAGTAGTGGTTCTTTTTCCTATTGTAGTTTGATGAAATTTGAGAATAGTAAAAACATAAAAAAAACAAGAGAAATATATAGATCGAGTTAAAAAGCTTTTTTCCCCGATGAATTGATATAATGAACAAAGAAACTAGTTGCATCCAAAAGACAATAAACCAACATATGAAAATTTCTTCAGGGATATTTCGTATTATACTCAGACTTCAAAAAAAGTGTTTTCTTCTAAAGACTAATAGACAAATCCACGGCAAAGTCATCTTTTTCTATCAATGTCAGAGAAGACAAGCGTATATATTCGTCAGACAGAGTCTATGTGTGATTATATTAGCTAGATGTCTGACACAACGAATAAAATTATTTTATAATTATAAATGACATTGTTTTCAATGAAAAAAAAGAACAATAAGGTTTATACTCGAATTTCTTATACATATATATATATATTAACAAAAATATGATTAGCACGTCGAGTTTTTTTCGATTATTGCTCTCTTTCATTCTCGTTTAGTTTCTTCTGAACATCTTAAAAAAACATTTTTGATTACTTATTCTAAAATTTTTAGTCTTATAAGTAGAATAAGAGTTCATGGAAAAAATTGAAGATATGTCTTATGTACTTATCCATTAAAGAAATAAAAATTTATTATTTTCTTGTCGAAAAATATTTTTGTGCTTTTTTTTCTGTTTAATAAGTTTAAACTTTGATGAAATGAGAAGAATTTTGCGGATTTTTTTTGCACTGTTACATCGTTTTTCTGTCAAGTTTTACGGGCAAAGATCAACAAGGAAATTTTCATTTGAAGATTTTGTCGTCATAAGTAAATCTTATTAAGAAAACAAAAAGAAGAGAATATCCAATACGAAAACACAAAGTTTTTTATTTCAATAGCACGTGAACACATAAGGCATGTTTGTAGTTTTCTCCACCAATTTTTATTCTAATTATGAAACTAAAACTTTCAGAATAAGTTATAAAAAGTATAGTTACACCTTACATATGCGATCAAAACAACACCAAGATATAGATGTAATGGAAAAAGAATTTAAGAAACATTTATTTTGGTGAAAGTGTATATAACTTTTATGATACAATTTAATGTGTGATTTACTAACTGAGAATCTATGAATGAAATCCATTGTGTATCATGGCGAAAAATTGATTATAAACAAGATAAAAAAAAGTTTTGTTTCTTCATACATCTATCTAATGTTTGTGTCAGCATCAAAGAGATGTTGTTACAGTATCTGCCTCTAAAATGAAAAATTTTCTCCCACATAGATAAATTCTTGAAAAACTTTCTGCTTCTACTAAAATAAATGCAAAACCAGATTTATTTTTTCCCTTGCACATTCGAAGAAATCAATTTATTTAAAATATAGAAAAGTCATATGAAAAAACTAATCTTTATTAATCATATATTAATAGAAGTAATCTTCACTCGAAAACGTAATGCTTTGTATAGTTAAATAAAAGAAACAGCTGTTTCGATACTTTCTATTAATAAACAAATCACAGAAGCTGTGTACGAAGCTTATACTCTTACTACTACAAGAGAAATATCTCGTTATTCGATATTCCCAAATGAAAAACTTTCCCTACAGTTAAATAATTTTCTAAAATTTCCCCAAACATCGTGTACTGACGCACACAGCTAGATTCTGTATGTCTATGTAGATGTAATCTAAATAAATCGACAATGGCAACAGCAAGCAACTTGTAATTTTGAATAATGAAAAGAGGAGAACTCCGGACGTCTCCTTGCCTGTTACTGTTTAAGACAAAATTACATTATTTTTACAAAACATTCAAAAAACATCCATGAAAATAGTGTTTCGTTCCAAGGAAATTTTGACGAGAAAAGTCAGAAAATTCACTAAAAATCAAAATGATCCTGTACAATTTAACCGAATACATACACTATTTCGTTTGTTCAACTTTGAAATATGAGACAATAATCATCTGAGTCAAGTCTTAAACTATCGATCTGAAGTCTCTCGATAGAAGTACAAATCTAAATCAAAATTTTATCGAAACAGAACACTCTTTTCATACACCGTTTTTAAAGGTTTTGCTAAGATGATTTATTTTTGTCTTACATAGTGTACTGACAAAACGACGTCCGAAGTTCTTCTCTGTAGGTTTCTGAAAGTCACAGATCGTTAACTGTTATCGTTTTCGAGTTGTTGAGTTTACATTCATTCCTCTTTAACTCTTGCGCAGATCTTAGTTTCTTTATAATGTAAATTGTATCGATTCAATTTGGTCTTCATTATAGTTAAAAGTATACTTGATTGAATACGAAACTCTTCAATTAAAATTTCTGTTAAAAACTTCGTTGTTTCTTTTTTCTGTCTTCTTCTAGTTTTTTTTTATTTACATTTTCTGTAGAAAATGGTCGAAACAAAAAAAAGAAGAACAGAAGTCTGTGCTGATGATGATCGCTAATGAGAACATTGAAAATGAAAGAACAAATAAGATAGACAGAGTAAAGAAGAAGGTTGAAAAATACACGGCAAAAAAGACAAATCAAAATAATAAAACATAAAGGAAGAAAAAGAAATTCTCTATCTATAAAGTTGATTATTATTATTATTATAATTATTATTTACGTTGATGTGGATTGTTCTGTTGCTGTTGCTATTTGTATTGGAACAGCGATCTTTTCTTTTGGTGGACTTGAAGATGGTGAAGATGTCTTTTCAATATTTTCTTGATTATTATTATTATTAATGTCATTATTGACGACTGATTCATTAGTAGAAGTAGTTTCTGTTTTCATGAGATTATTATTTTGTTCAACAGCAGGAGTTCCTGGTACTTTCGATTCAAGTTTACCAATTACTTTTTGTACATTGCGTATCATTTCTTTTCGTTTTTCTTTTATATCAGCACTAACATCGACTAGTTCATCGCAACGTATCATTATTTTTAATGCTTGTTCATCAAGTACTTTATATTGACGATCATCCCGAGTTGAGCCAGTAAAAATATCAACTTGTTTCTCAAGATTATCCAAACTTTGCTTAATTTGTTCGAGTTTTTCTAATGCTATTACATTAGGATCACGCACAGGTTGTGGCGGTGGTGGTGGTGGAGATGGAACATTAGTTGATATTGCAGTATCAGTTGATGAAGCTTGTGGATCAGTTGGTTGTGTTGATGTAGAAGAAGAAAAAGACGGTGCTGGCATTGGAATAGGACCGTCTGTGTCTTTAGCCATTTTCAATTCAGGTTCTTCTTGTTGTTGTTGTGTTGTAGTTGGTGCAGATTTAGCTGGTGATGCACCTCGCTGAGTGGCTGGTGAACGAGCACGTTCATTAGCTGTTAAAAGAAATAGAATTTATTTTAAAAACATATATATTGCTTTTATCATTCTATATAAACGAACTTTTTGGTTCTCTCAAAATACAACTCGATATACCCATTGTATTTCATTACGATTTTAATCAATTGCTTACATTTACAACCATCAAACGAATGTATTTTTAACTTTTTTGTTCTCGACAATACACTATTATTAACAATAAAAAAATCTCTTAGCATTTTTTGTTTTCATTCTTCTGTACAGATATGCTCATGATGTTTTTTTTTTCTATTCTTTGTTTTTCTTTCCTCTTTTATGATTTCTATTACATGAGGGTTAATGCACGGGGTAAAAAAATATTGTGTACTGCTTGTTCTTTGCTACGTCATGCAAGCGTATGCTAACATATATGATTTGGTCTTCAATAACCACCGTCGATATCATCAATCTGGTTACTGTTGTTAAGATATATAGTAACTATGGAATCAATCGACAGAATGATAATAACATCCATCTTATATTTTGTTTTTTAGAAACTCAAAGAGCTGAAATTTCGTTTTTGTCGTATGTCGATAATAATGAAAAATAGTTGACAATTGATATTTGAAATGATATAATAATAATTGCTGTATGAGAGAAGAAATCTAAAGTTTTCGATGTAAATTTTCTAACGTGGGTTTCTTTTCTTTGTGCTTTAAGAAAATATGAACGATGATTCATCGTTAGATGGATTAAATAATTTAAAAGTAAAATTGCGACACGCTTCTATTTATTTTCAAGTCTAAGAAAGTAACAAAAACATATTTATAATACAATCAACAACATCTGTTGTTGTTAAATAAAGAAATGGACTTTTTTCTTTCTTTTTTAAATGACGAAATAAATCAAACAACGACATTGGAATTTTGAAAATTGAAACAAAAAAGTTTACTCACTAGCATTGTTTGCACTTCCTTGAGAAGTATTTGGTTTATGATGATCCATTGGTGTACCATATTCATTTGTGTAAATAATATTTGGATTAACATAAGCTTGATTAACATAAGTTGGTTGTTGTTGTTGTTGTTGAGATTGAGGTTGATGTTGCGTTTGAAATGTTGATCGATAATAGGGTTGTTGCTGTTGTTGTTGTTGTTGTTGTTGTTGTTGTGGTTGTTGTTGTGGTTGTTGTTGTTGTTGTTGTTTTTGTTGTTGTTGTTGCTGTTCGAATGGATATTGTCGTGTCGTTGGAAAACTTTGATACATATCTGGAAAATCATTAAGAGCATCAAATGATCGACGTAGAGGACTTGTATATAAGTTTGGTTGAACAAAATCAGAATCCGTACGAAAACCACTACCAAATGTAGGTGGTATTAATGAAGTATATTGGGGTTGAGTATTATAACGCATTGAATCAAATGGTGATGAAAGAAGATCTTCACTTGAACGACTAAAATGCAATGGACCTGATTCATACATTCGTTGTTGTGGACGTTGATATTGTGGCTCTTGATATTGTGGCTCTTGATATTGTGGCTCTTGATATTGTGGCTCTTGATATTGTGGCCCTTGATATTGTTGATAAGATGGATAATCATTGAATGGTTGATTAAATTGTGAATTTGTATTCATACGATCATATGCAGTATTTGGACTTTGACGTGGTGCAAAACGACTAGGTGAATTAGATGTCCATGATGGAGAACCTGAATATCCACCATATGGATTATCATTATGCAGTGTTCGAAATGGAGAATTATGTCGTGAATGAGATCCTGAATTAGTTGACTTAGGTTCACGAATAATTTCTACCGGAATTGAAACACACTGAAAAACAAGAAAATTATTTCAAAAAAATATCTACCATAAAATCTAATACTTACTCCAGACGGTGGACGACTGGAACCATTTTCTGAAGCCATTAATATTTATGAATTCTTGTAATTATTTGAATTTCTTTTTAAACTTATGTATAATTTTAAAAAATATTCTATTTGTGTAATGTATATCAATGATTGTAAATTAGGTTAACATTTGAAAAACAATCTAAAATATTTCTGTAAATTATATACATCAATATACAACCATATAAGGTAAGAAATCGACCATATATATATATATATATAAGTACTGTTTACTATATAGAAGCCAATGCACAGTAGCGATGGCTCAAAACGATATGCTGTTGTACGAACGAATGTGCACTCAGTTATTATAAGGCATGCGTGTAGCAAAGGCACAAAAAAGTAATGTAGCTCGTTCTTCTGCTTTTTTTCTTTCTCCCTATTACCGCCTCTTCTTTTCTCGTTGATAATCAAAAACTCGATTTTTCTTTTTTCTCGCTCTTTCTCGCTTTTTCTGGGCCTTTGCTGCATTCCTATCGAGTGCGTCAGCATACGAAAAAAAAAAGAAATGACTTGGCACTTGTTGAGTGAGTGAGACACCATTGGAAGATGACGTCATTAACTAGAAAAACAACAACAACATCATTTTTCGAGTTGTCTTTTTTTATTTCGTTTTTTTATATCGCGTAAACATTTATTTGCCTATTCTTTATGACTTTTTTCATATAAATAAAAAAAAAAACATTAATCTTCCTACGCGTAATATTTTTATTCTAAAAACAGATATTTATAGTAATTCTCAAAAGTCAATTGAAATTTTTTTAATTTCAATTTTGATATTATTAAAATCTAAGCGAATTAATGTAAGAATCGATAGATGTTTCTTTACAAGAATCTTTCTATTTCTTTTATTGACACCCACGTTTGTTTCTCATATTATCTTATCAATAACCTTATAAGTGCCCTTTTCACACATAACAGTAGTGTAATGCAGTCGAGTCTTGATGTTCAGCGGTCGTAAGTGACTATTTCCATTATCTCATTTATTAATACATACACAAAAAATAGCCGTTAACTGTTTACAACATAGATTCCATCGATCCCAAGTGTATATGTATAAAGAAACAAAAACTAAAACTTACGTTCTGATTACGTATATAATGTAATGTAATGCTTAGTGAATAAATAAATAATTCGACTATTTGATTTTTTTATACTACTTAGTAAACATGTAGTTTCATGTCATCAATTATAGTTATACGGCAAAATATTCTCATTTTTCTTATGCTATTTGAATAGCAATCACCATTATGTTTCTTTTTCTTTTTTAAACTACCTAACAATTATTTATTGATTAGTATCGAACCTTCAGGTGAAGTTTTTCAAAACGATAGTATTCCTTTGATGTCACATTTATTCTTGTACTTATATATCGTTTCTATTTTTTCTCTTCTCTTCTCGTTATGTGCAAGGACAATTATTTTTCCTCAATCTATACTCTATTTACTGGTTGTCATCGCTGTTATTGTTGTTATCGTATAGAATGTAGCTCTTATAGGAATAGGAAAAAAGAAAAAAAACACTCTAGTAAAGTTGTTTTTGAAAGTCAAATCAAATATTTTTCAGTATATCAAATTTATATCTTTTTTTTTGTTTTCTTATAACGGATGACACGAAGTGAACTTAATTCGATTTAGGATTAATATTATCATATTACAATATTGACTTATTTTTAACTAAAAATTCGAGATAAAACGTATTTATGTACAAACCCAGAACGGTAAAATAACAAAAAACAAGAAACTATGACGCATATAAAAAGAATATAGACATCAATCGGTGAATAAAAAAAACCTTGTCAGTTTATATCAGAAGAAAATAGTTCTATTTACGATAATTACATACAGCAGAAAATAAATTGAGGCTAAGCAGTCGACTTGTTGAGATAGAATAACAACAAGATGGGTATCATTTTTTCTCCGTAAGAGAGACAGATAAGATATTTCGTTACTATTTATTATAAACCAATGAATATCAAATTTAGTTCTTTTTCACTCATTGATTTAACGAGTAAATAAAAATATAATTTTATCATAACAGACATTTCACATTCTTTGGTTGTTTTTCTTCTTGTTTTTTTGTTTTGTTTTGTTATACATCTCAAATTATTGTGCTTTACAGGAAAACACTCGGGTACAGACAAACGCAAAAAAAGGATGGAAAGTAAGAAAACAATCCTGTTTGAATATTGCCTAAATACCATAGTAAACAAAAACATCCATAAAAATACTGCATTAATTAGAAACAACAAATCAAAAACACTGTACGTTTATTTTGTTTTACGGATTTATTTTTTGACCTTCAATTAAAGCCTTGACATCATCGGCCGATAATGTTTCAAAATGAAGAAGAGCTTCAGCAAGTATCTTCAGCTCATGTGCGTGTTGTTTAAGTAAGACTTTAGCACGATCATATGATTCCTATCATAATGAAAAAAAAAGAAAAAATGAAAATTTTATATTGATAAATAATTCAAAAAGAAAATAATCAATACCTGCATTAGTCTTTTAATTTCTAAATCAATCATTTCTTGCATTGTTGGACTTATATCATTAACACGAACAAAACCTACACCAGCATCTTGTTCTTCTTCTCGAAATGATCTTGTACCAACTTTATCCGACATACCAAATTGTGTTACCTATTTAAATAAATAAATAAACGAACATAAAAAAAAGAATTTTTTAGTACCATATTTGTTGCCAATTTAGTCGCTTGACTAAAATCACTTGCTGCACCGGTGGTTATTTTCTCAATACCAAATATTTGTTCTTCAGCAGCACGTCCAGCCATCATAACATCCATTTCAGCCAATAATTGTGATCGTGTTTGAGTATATATTTCTTTTATTGGTATATGTGCTGTAAAACCAAGTGCTTGTCCACGAGGAATAATCGTTACTTTATGTAATGGATCAGCATCTTTAGTAAAATATCGTACAATAGTATGACCAGCTTCATGATACGCTGTAATATTGTTCGTTTCTGGATCAGGTATTTTAAATTTTTTTGCTGGACCCATAAGAACTTTATCACGTGCCCATTCTAAATGATTCATAGCTACAAATGGTGAACTTGATTGAGCAGCATAGAGAGCAGCCTGCAAAGAAAAACAAAAGTTTTCAAAAGAAATAACGTTCATATGAAGAATTACTTGATTAACCAAATTTTCAATATCAGCACCAGTAAAACCTGTTGTTCCTTTTGCTAAATATTCCGTATCAATAGATTTATCATGTATTGTTTTACTAAGATATAATTCAAAAATTTCTTTTCGGCCACGAAGATCTGGTGGTGCTATATAAATTTCACTATCAAAACGACCTGGTCGCAAAAGAGCTGTATCTAAATAATCACGACGATTAGTTGCTGCTAATATAATAATTCCTTCATTTTTTTCGAATCTAAAGCATATTTATTCAATTGACAAAAAACTTTACAAACAAAGTAATTTACCCATCCATTTCTGCAAGAAGTTGATTTATGGTTTGATTGGCATATGGATGCAATTGTGAACTTGATCGTTTAGCACCAACTGAATCAATTTCATCAATAAAGATTACACATGGTGCACGAGATTTAGCAATAGCTAAACTTTTATTTACAGTGAGAAAAAGAACACAAAAAAAAATAAACTTACTAAATAATTGACGTACACGACGAGCACCTGTACCAACAAACATTTCATCAAATTCTGATCCAGATGTATGAAAAAATGGAACACCAGCTTCACCAGCAACAGCTCGAGCCAAAAGTGTTTTACCTAAAGATAGGTTTACGCGTTTTATAAAAATAAGAAACAACGACATATACCGATGCCAGGTGAACCAACAAGGAGTACACCCTTAGGAAGTCGAGCACCTAATTTTGTATATCTTTCTGAATCTTTTAAATATGCTACTATATCCATTAATTCATCTTTTGCTTCATCAGCCTAATAAAAGCGTATGAATGATTTATTTAAAATAAAAATGAATGAATTTTATTACGCCTCGAACATCGGAAAAATTGACTTTAACATCTTCTGGATGAACTTCATATTTACTAACTGTAGAAAAAGCAGTTGTTATTCCACTACCATCTTAAAAAATTGATATAAATAATTTTATATATTCATATATATTTAGACACGTACATACCACCACCAAGTGCGGATATAATGTTTAATAGAATTATTAACAAAATACTGTAAAATAATATTACTCGTATTGCTTTGAAGATTGATGAACGATCTTTTGGTTTAGACTCGCCAGCAGCTGCAATATAACCTATAACATGAAACCTTGGCACTAAGGAATTTAACGAATAATAAAATTCAAACCTTCGGCAAAAGCAATTTTGGCTTTTTGTTGTTCATCAAGAGTTGATGTACTACTTAACACATTTTGAAAACGTTCACTATCAATATTTTGCGATGATGCACTTCCAGGATTATATGGCGTAAACTATATAAGAAAAAAAAAAGCTAAATTTATAATTATATAAACCTTCCTCGCACAGAATAGAAGTCCAATATGCTTCTATTGTGATCAAGTATTTTTTATTGTGTTGTTGGTAGCTATACTTTCATTATTTTACAAGTGTAGAAGTGAATATGAACAATTATTGTTAATACAATATTCATTTTAGCTCAGAAATCACCAAGTTCGGGAGATGTTAGAAAGAAACTCTTATTAGGTATGTATTGATATGACTTTGTTGAATGAGTTCATCATCGAAGCTTGTTGTACAGAATTCAGAAATAAAATGAAAGATATTTTAATTACCTTGACAGAAATATTAAGTAAGCTTTTGATTACAAAATGAGAGTCTCTCATTTTTGAGAGATGCATAGTTCAGATCAGATAAGTTTTATAATAATCCATATTTTATCATGTCACTAGAGCTTGTCCGCTTCAAAGTTTTCAGATTCGAGCTCGACAAGCTCTGCATCTCACACTATTTTTTATTATCGAATTCGATAAACGTTTACGTAATTTCAATTGACAACTGTTTACTTTTGTAAGATGTTTCATTTTGCAGCCAAGGAATTATCCATATTTTTATCAAGTTATTAAAAACTAACATCTTTTCTCTTCTCAAATATGCATAAGCTCATAAGGAGAAAGAAATTTACCAGAATGATATGATTGTATGCCTCATTACTATCTCACAGGTCTCTGACAGGAATCTGTAAATAATGAATATGCACATACATTTTTCAAGTCGTGAAAGAAATTGATTTGTCCGTTGCTAGAAAGCATACAATACAAAAGACATAAAGAACATAAACACAGTTATAATTGAATAGTGAAAAACAATGAGTTAATCTATTTAATTTTTTTTACATAGTTTCTTTTCTGATCAGATCGAGCATCGTGAGCTTCTATACATGGGAGAGCTTAGAAGATGGAAAAATACGACTTACTCGGCTGACATTTGTTGTTGATGGTGGTAGATTTGAATCTTTTGGATAATATGCAAATCTTTCATCTTTTATTCCTTTTTCACTAACAACTGTTGATGATCGATGTGTATCAAAAGCATGCATTATTCGAGCTGTGCTACTTGTAGCTGCTCCAGTATGTCTACCAACACCAGTTGAACTGGAGTGCCTTGTTTTAAAACCACGTATCTGGTTGAATACTGAAGGAAAATTAAAAACAAGACATAATGCATAACAGGATAAAAATGGATGTACCTAAATTTTGAATTTTTAACAGATCAGTATGTTTAATATGTTGAGTGATGCCAACTTGACAAGAAAAACATGATGTTGATGATACTGGTGAGAGTGATATTTTTTGAAGTTCTGTACATAAGAACAAGTATTTCTATTCAATTCAATACATGTAAAAAAATTACCTTCTTTTGATAATTCATTAAGTAACGATTCAATCTTAACATTAAACACTTGTTGTACAGTTGTAGTTACTTGTTTATCAATTTGTCGCTATAATATACAAATCCATTCTAGACATTATCATCATGTTTTAAGGAGATTTCCTTCTGTTTGAATGTTAAAATCTCTAAAACTGCTCAATACGGTCAGTTTTCGATCGCTGCAGTTGGAGAAAAATATCCTGACACATACACAAAAAATGTGATTTTCGTTTGTCTCGAAATCAGTTTTTACTCAAAAACGTGCAGAATCGTCCGCATTTCTTCGACATAGTACTCTCGTTCGAAATGGAACTTTCTCTGCAAGTATCGGATACGAATGTATTTTTCAAAGGTATGCAAATTGTTTTGATCTTTTTATTTTGATGAAAACAGATAAAAAAAATTAAAAAAAAACGAAAAAAAGTTGGCGAACTAAACAGTGTCTGGTATGTGTTTCAGCTCTATTATATGTATTACAGCTGAGAAAGCAGTTCTAGTTTTAGTTGTTGTAACACAAATATTTCCTAGAAAGATGTATTTAGGAATAGGGAGTCGATGCAGTTTTTAGCTATACCCATCGAGATCTATTTACATTGAAAGTCGAAAGTATTTTGGATGTGTCGTTCGTCATAAATCTTGGATAGGATGGGGTTTTTCTTACCAATTTTATTACTTTCGAATGTTGTACTTGTTTTGTATTTATGTATGATGAAAATTGTTTCAAAGCATCATTTGTTATTGCTTGAAAACTTCGTGGTAAATAACGTATGGATTGAACGAAAAATGAAGCACATTGTGAACATAGCTAAAGCAAAACGTAATCATTGATAGTTTTATATCATGCTTCTTTGTTTTCTCACATTCGTTGGTGTTGCAAATGAATTCATCTACAAAACATACATATGCCTGGAGTAGTACATCAATGGATTACTGTATACGAATATTTCAATAATCTCTATATATATATTTTTTTTTTTTGTAAGCACATAAACACAAAAAAAGAAACAAAATATATATAAATAATGTAATGCGATAAACAAATCCATACACATAAAGAATAGAAATTACAAGGTTTTCTTCTTTTCTTTTAATTTACAAAGATTAGGCTATAAAAGTTCGAGAAGATGATCAGCTTCAAGTAAAGCTTCATCAATTAATGCAAATGTATCAACAACATCACTAGACTCAGTGGGTTTGAGTAATTTATTTTCATCATCTTGATTTGAAATATTTGATGATTGAGGTTCGTTAGTTTGTATAGAAGGAGAATTTTTATTACCAATAACGTTTAATGCCATCGGTTCAATTGATTTTGTCGATGTTTCAGAAGTCATCATTGGAGCTAAAGGTCGTTTGATAGCCACTGATGTTGGTTGTCCAGACAGTCGTGTATTTGTTTTTGTCGATGATGATAATTGTAAAGAGGATGAAACAATCGTTTGTGGTGTAAAACGTGGGCGTACAGACGAAGAAGCCACTGGTTGACCTGGTACCATTGTTATCGATGAAGAGTTTTTTCTTTCAGAAATTTTTACACCAAATTTCTCGGTTTGCTTTTCTGAATTTTTATCATGACTTGATACTAATGAAGTTGACGGTGTAGATGTATTGAGAGATGAGATCTCTTGACGAAGAGATGATTGATGTTGAGATAATGAAGTAGAAATACGTTTTGACGGTGGTGCATCTTCTTCTGTTGTTTTTGATACTGTGCGTTTACGTTCATTAGCAGATGATGTAATAACATTACGACTAGTAGACGAATTATTATTCATACTATTCATTGCAGTTATTGAAGTAGAACAAATGATTGATCGAGGCGGAGAGATTGGTTTTTTCTGGAAACGTCTACCAATAAACAATAATAAATCTTATTAATGTATAAAAAACCAACAATTAAAAAATCCATATTTACTCGATACGCATTGTTCGACGGTCATCATCTTGTAACAAGGTTAATCCTAGAATATTTCGAATTAATATAATCCTACGATTACATTATACTCGTGCAATTAAAAAAAAACACCGAATTGATAAGATGACGATGGACATTAACATATAATCGTCATTAATCTAATGCATCTCATGTCAAAAGAAATAAACATTAACAAAAATTGCAAGATACGTTTTCCTTTTGAATCCCTATCTAAATCTCACTTAACTCCTTGGTAGAAAAAAAAATAAATGATCAAGAACCAATATAATAAGGGGATAAGACAGGAGTCTTTGTAGCTGTCGTTGTGCATGATTGAACATATATACAGGCAGTTTGATAATTGTTAAGAAGAGAAAATAGTGTAGGAAGGAATATTAATATATTGAAATAATAGTAAATGGAATGAATAAATGTAATGCCGTCGAACGTACCCGCAGATGTCTACAATAGAAAACCACGAAAATATTTTGTTTAGTATGTTGTTGTTTTTTTCTGTAATCAATTAACCTTTTCTTCATTTGTTGGTGTAGAAACAGAGATATGTGAGTTTCCACTGGATAGTTTTGCTGCGGGCAAACGGTCACGATTTAATCGTATTGGTTTTGTATCATTCGTTGATGTTGTTTCTTTTGATGACATGAATAAACGATTAGTAATCGATGATGTTGAACAAGGGAATAAGATATCAACAGCTAAAAGAAAAATACTTTATTTTAATTATTGACGTTTTGAGACGAACATTTTTTTGTAAGCCTGAGTCAATTAAGAAAAAATATGAAATTAGTAGTAATGAAAATCAGTTTGAAAAGACCTCAATATATCATTTCATGGACTAAAAACAAGCATTACAACATTTTAGTTTGATTACAAGAATATCACTCATTGACAAGGACATTATTTGATGAATTTTCAACTTAGTTCTATGCTACTTTATTCATTACAATATACATCATATGCACGTGTAAAACAAACTTAAAGGTCTATAATGGCAGATATAAGTTATGAACCACAGCACAACATTCAAAATAAGTTTTCTAGCATCCATTTGAAGTTTGTTAGAAATGTTTTCATTTGATAGAATAGAATGAAATGTTTCGACTCTTGCGATAACTTTTCTTCTTCGAACTGCATTCATTTTACAGAAGTTCCAAGAAATACTTTTCTTTTGTTTTAATAAGAATTTTTAATGCTTTTGTTGCGTTTGACGTCTTGAAGCGTTCTATGAATTGAAAGCAATTCGATGATGGAAGGTCATGAAGAGAGCCAAGACATCTCATTTTGTTCTATCAAATAAAACTATTTTTTTCGATGATTTCATTTCCAATATTTCAAATAAACGACAAGATATATAGTGCATATAAATAATGGCATCCATTGGATCAAACTGGTTTTCAATACTGTTAATATACTATATTTTCTTAGTTGAAATGGGCTCAATACTTTTCTTAGTAATAGAAGAATTTTTTTACTTGATTGAGAATCTTGTTTAATTTTTTTTGCATCATTTTCTTGTCCAATCAAGTCAATATCAGTCTTTTTATCTTTTTCAGATGAATTAATACTATCGGATGAAACAACAACACGATTGGATGATGTTGGTGATGATGATAATGTTGTTCGAACAATTTTTCGATTTGGAACACAATTTGTTTCAGCAATAACAACATTTCGATTAACAACTAATCGAGATTGTGGTGTTGTCACCTCTTCTTGAATAGTCTTTGGAGAATCTGTAATTACACTACGAGTAGATTTATTCAAACTTAGAATATTATTAGTATTGTTGTTGTTGGTATTGTTTGATAAATTTTTGTTTTCATTTGATTGATCAATATCTAATGATGCTGCAGTACGACGTGCAATCGTTTCAGTTTTCAGTATTGGTAATGGTGTATGAGAATTTGATGATGATTTGATTGTACTAATTGGTATGACTACTTGTGTTTCATCTAGATAAAGAAAATTTCCAAAAAAACAAATTCAAATAGACACAAAACTAACTGATTGTTGGTTGAGAAGAATTGATATTAGCACTTGGAACAGGTTTTGTTTGTTGTATACCGGTAGAAAGAGTATTATTAACAAGTGGTTTAGTTGCATCTTTTTTAATGAGATTTGTTGATGAAGCTACAAAGCAAATAGGAAATACATAATTATATTGAGAAAAAAAAATAATCTTCTTACGTCGAATTGTTGATGTATTGCGTAAGTTCATTCGTGGTCGTGAATGAATAAATGTGCAGTCAAGTTTTAAACAACCCATTGCTGTATTCTCATAGAAACATAGTATACCATTAGTTATCGTTGGGCGCTAATAAAGAGAAATAAAGAAACTATAAAAATATATAATTTTGATCATATACCAGAGCAGTACTATGACGATATGGACAAGTAGAATCGGGGCAATTACCATGTAACCAAGCTGGACAGATAATATTACATGTTAAAGCTAATGGACTATGTCGATAAGTACATGATGAACCCTATGAAATGTATTGTTTGATAGATTTGATCTTACAACAACCGCAATAAAAAACACAACAATCATGACATACTTTTGCACAAGATGATGTAAGAAAATAAAAACAATCTTCGTTCGATTTATGCATAGTCTAATATTATTTTCAATCTAAAATATATCAGCAATCATAACCAATTTTATGGGATATGCAAACAAAAACAAAAGAGACAATCATCCTAAAATGATTTATCAAGAGAAATGTACCTACCTGTTGATGTTGTTTACACATACATATACTTATTCATTGCTACTTGTATTGACGCATTGTTTATACCAATCACAATTTATGTATCGAAAAAGAAGTGGCTCCATCTCTTTGTTTATTTTTTTTTTGCAATTTATTTTCTTATCAAAAATTTCTTTTTACTTATCTATAGAATAGAATATAGGTAAATAAAACATTTTAAAATCTATTTTTGATTCAAATTTAATCAATAAATTCAAATTTTTGTTTGCTTGTTTACATAGTTAATTGTGTTCGACATATTTTTTTCCATTTTGTCTTTATTAGTTTCTGTATATCTCTTCTACAGGTAAAAATAATTTCTCTTTCTAGCGTTCTTTATCCTACTATTAAATATTAATTTTATTAAGATAATTATTATCTTATTTTTCAGATAATTGGTGGTGTTTTGTTTTGTTTTATTTTATTTTATTTTTCTTTACCGATTTTTATTGCCATCAACATCATATACATAGATCTTACTGTGATTCTTTTCTTCTGTCATTCATATTAATTCCCTTGAACGTAATCTACGATTTTTCTCAAATGGATTATTCATACGGACAATCTAGTGATTATCCACTACGGTAAAAGTTTTACTTTTTTTTTTCTTTTTTATGTATTTCACCTAATGTTTTTTTTTTCTTCATAGAATTCTTGTTCCTAGCGATTCTGTTGGAGCTATAATTGGTAAACAGGGTTCAACAGTTAAACAAATCAAACAAAAAACACATGCAAAGTCAATTTTTTGCGTTGATAAGAAAATAGTAAATATATGATTATTTATAGAATTGATGTGAATAAAAATGAACCATCAAATATACAAGAACGTGTGATTGCTTTTCGAGGTCAACAAGAAAATTGCATTCAAGCATGTCGAGAAATACTTCGTATTATGTATGAAGATGCTAATAATAAAAATAAAACAAAGTAAGACGAAATTTATTTCAAAGTTTTCGTGATTTGAAATATATGATTTTTTTTTAATATCAGTGAAATTATATTAAAAGTACTGGCACATAATAACTTTATCGGACGAATTATTGGTAAAGGTGGTAATATAATAAATTCAATAAAAAAAGACACTAATACAAAGTTGGTTTGAAAAAAATAATTTATTATTTGATTGTTTTTTTTCTATTTATGAAATAGCATTACCGTATCAAGTGTAAATGAATTAAATTCATATAATGTTGAAAGAATAATATCAATAAAAGGTGAATTTGAACAACAAATACGTGCACTTGAAACAATTTATGCTAAATTATGTTTGGCTTATGAAAATGATAATGCTCGAACATGGAATTACCCAACATCACAATATCAGCAACAACAACAACAACAGCAATTAATGCAGCATTTTGCTCAACAAGCAGTTATGATGGCGACGAATGCTAATGGTGGTCCATCTCTATTTCCTACACATTATGCTCAACAGCATCAATCGATAATTCAACAATCACCAACTAATAATAGTAATAATTCATCGAGTAAATATGTTGAACAACCACCAAATCCTACTGCAATATATCATCAACCTTATTATGTTAGTTAAATATAATTTGAAAGAAAAAAAAAAAAGAAAAGCGTTTATCTAATTGTAGCCACCAATATTTCCTGTTCCAGGCCCATATTATGTGTCATATCCACCAATGGGTCATATGGTTTCTCCCTATACTCATCAATATGGAAATCTCGGAACAAACGTAAATGGAAATCTTAATCATCAACAACAACAACATTCTCAACCAATTGTACAATTATCACAAAATACACCAGCAGCTATTGAAACTGTTCATTTATATGTACCGAATACGGTGATTGGAGCTATAATTGGTACTAAAGGTCTTTTTATTAAAAGTATTATTAATAATTCAAATGCATCAGTTAAAGTACTTAATTATTCAATTATAATTTACACTAAGTGATAATTATATTTATTATTTAGATTAGTCCATTGAGTCCACATGAAGATCAAAATAAAATAATCGATCGACAAGTAACAATATCTGGAACACCTGAAGCTCAATGGAAAAGTCAATATTATATATATGATAAAATTCGACAAGAAGGTAATATCATTTTTTTTTTCTATATAAGGGATTATCAGAAAGTATTTTCGACGTGTCACAATCTATGATTTAGATGCTCTTATTGTATATAGGCTTAAAAGTGTTGCATCTATTTTTGTCCAAGAATAGTGAGGAACTTTATGAAAGATCTGAAAAATTATTTAGTCAACCAATTTTGTTTATCCTATAAGTTCCTTCACAAACATAATAGAAGTTATTAAAAACCGTCATTTTGCAGAGTGAACATCTTTCTACAAAATGTGATATTGAACTAAGTTGTGGCTTTTATCAAAATGAAACCAGAAATAAAGAACTTTTTTCAACATAAAACAATTGTCCATTTTTTCAAAATTGAACATTTAGGAAAAAACGAAAATTGAACTGCCTTGCCGAAAACAAAACTTCAAATGGCGCAACTTTTAGAGTATTTTTTTGAAATTTTGAAAGATTATTTCACTATTCCCGAATAAAAACTACGGCAAAAGTTCTAAGTTCATATTTAAAAAGAACATGCTCATTCGTAGCTTTTGATTTGTCTAAAAGTTTTTCGGTCACTTGGTTATATATCTATGAAAAATCATGAGAAATAAATTAATTATTTTCAGGTTATGCCGGTGATGATGAAGTTCGACTACGAGCAGAAATTTATGTACCTACATCATTAATCGGACGTTTAGTTGGTAAAGGTGGACAAAATGTAAACGATTGATGCTTTTGTTTTTGTAACATGGATTAAGATGATTTACTTTCTTTTTAGGTTCGTCAATTACAACAGTCAACAGGTGCAATTATTAAACTACCCGAAGATTCACAACAAACATCAGCAAGTGAAGTACCCGTTAAAATTATTGGTCCTTTTCAAGCTAGTCAAGTAAGATTGGTATTTTTTTCTTTATTAATCATAAATTTCGTTTTTGTTATCTAGTTTGCTCAACGACGTATTCAATCGATTATTCAAATGAGCCGTGATTTAATTAATACATCAAATGAAGATAGTAATAATAATAATAATAATACTACTACTACGAACAATAATAATAACAATAGCGAACAATCAAATAAGTCGAATAATCTTAATGAGATATCGAAAACTGTGAACGGAAGTACAATTAGTGATGATGCTGTTGTTGCTTCTAGTACAATACGAAATTCTGATGATAGTATAACAGCAGTGGATGAAAACAAATCTAGTGATGAATGATGAAATTATTTTATCAAAGAGAGTTTGAACAAATAAAGTGCAATAGAAGAAGAGAAAAAAAAAAGTTCAATTTTAAACAGCATTTATGATATATGTTGTGCCCAACCAACTCGGTGATAAAAGAAATCTCCCTTCTTCTTGTTTTCTTTTTCTTTCCTTAACTTCTGTGAGATTCTAGATTAGACTTGGAAACTCATAGAAATCGCTTTTCATTTGTTTTTATCTCGACAAAAGTCGATGAGCTGGTGTGCGTGTGCGCGTGTGATTCATTTGTTTTACTTTTTTTCAGCTTGTTTTATCGTCTCGTGTGTTTGCTGTGTGTGTGTGCGTGTTGGCTTGTTTGTTTTGTTTTCTTTTTTTAAGCACATCCGTCGAATTTTCTTTTATTATGAACGACGGAATTGAGCGATACATATGTACGGGTTATTTAGGCATTGTTTTTTTATACCGCGAGTGAAGAACGCGATCTGAAAAACAAAAGAAACAAAAAGAACCATGGAAATAAAAACAAAAGCGAGATAATGATGTGCTGTTTCTTTTTTTATAAATGCAATCTTAAAAAAGTAAAATTGTGTTATTTGGTAAAACTATTAAGGATGAAAAAAAAAGAATTCAAATATAAATTTTGTGCGGATCTTTGTCCGATTGGTTGGACTCATTTTTATAAAATAGGAACATGATAGTTTTATCACTTTCACCTAGATTTCTTATGGCTGCTTCATGGCTTCGTATTAATGAACTGTTCAGTTCAAATGCTAATTTGGTTTGTATTGTGGCTCGTATTCAATCAATCAATTCTGTACAAGGAACTCTCATCTTATATGATAATGATGATAATGGAGCATCATTGTCTACTTTGCATGTCTCATTTATCAATGTTTGCACGCCATTTGACATGCAAGCATTAGCTTTATTATCGGGTCAATTTGTTCAAGTTTATGGAAAAGTTATTCGACAAGGTGCTAATATTATTCGAGTTGATGCTCAATTTATTAGAAAATTAGGCATTGATTTTGATATAAATGAATATGTAAAAGGTTTAATTCTAATTCGTAATTATATGGCAAATGTTGATAGTAGTGGTGTTGAGAATGTTGTAGATATAAATATTAATCATGTCTTCGGATAGTACAATTAAATCACATGTATTAACTGCTTTTCGTTTTCGTGGTCTTGATTTGAAATTGTAAGTAAAGATTTGAAGGATATGTAAGAATAACTATTTATTGCCTTTATTCAGTGATGCATCGCAATATTTAGTTGAATTAGCTGCGACTGTTCCATCAGCTTCGTTAATCTCTTGGCTTGATCAACTTATTGATTTATTAACAAAACGAAATCGTGTGTTTCTTTTTTTTTTCTTACTACTATGTGTCACTTCATTTTTTTGCTGTATAATAATCTAGTTTCGTCATCTATTGTTGATAAAGCACTGCTGACTAATGTCGTTCAAGAATTAAGAGCTCAACTTTCAAATGATTCACAGTTTGTATCATTGTTATATAAAGATTTATATGTTTTTCAAAACGAGATCTTTGTTATTCTGCTTTAGTAATGAAGCTCTTTTTTCAGTTCTCAATGCATTTTCAATGCCAAAATTTATATATTCAAGATCCATGAAGAAATTCATTGGGTATTTATCTTTTTCATAGGATAATATTTCATTTCGAATAATCATAATTATTTGCAGAAAAGAAATTGATAATGATCTGTTTGGAAGTGCTCAAACACGTTCAGAAGTATTCTGGGAACGATATGATTTACTTTTACAAGTAGGAACATAACTATATATTATAATTTGCTTGTCATTGTTTCTATTTTTCACAACAAACTTAGCGAACATTAAGACATGACGTCTTTTCACAAGTGAATTTAGCAGCGGCATCAACAAATAAAGTTCAAAAATATCAGGTAAAAATTTATTCAATCAAAAAATACGATCAAAGTATTTATTTCTTAGTTGAAAACTATTGAACATTTGTTGGCTGCTGGTTCTAAATCAGAAAAAGTTGTGGTACTTGGAATGTTGTCACAATTACACGAGGTAATGATATATGTCGAAAGTAAAATTATTTATGAGATCAAGAAGAATTTCAAAATTTTTAATAGACGAAATATGATCTACAAGATCCAACTGGTGTTATTTCACTCAATCTAGATAATGCGGTATTATATATAAGTATTTCTTTTATTTTGATTTTCGCATGAGATTGTTTTTTTCTAGACATTTCATCCAGGCTTTTATTTTGAAAATTGTTTCGTCTTAGTCGAAGGACAATTTGATGATGGAATATTTAATGTATCAGGTATCTAACTAGTATAGTCATCTAATAGATAAATTGTCTTTGAGGCGAGACTACTTTTCGTTAAGGTCTCTATTTTTGCAAAGTTTCAAGTCGAAATTCGAAAGTCAATTATTCTGAGGAAGACCATGACTTTCATTAGAGAAATTCCATAAACATGTAGTATCTATGCAGTAATTAGCTAAGAGCGCGAACTTTTGTTGTGATATTCATAGATCATTTGGGTTTATATAATGAATACAGTCTCGATTCAAAATTTTTTGGTACATCGAACAAAAGTATGATATCCTAGTTTTTGTTCTCATTCATAGGCATTGGTTTACCACCTCCAGAATCGGCACAAAGTACAAGGTTTGACAATCATGAGTGTATCATTTTCTGTTTATATTGTTTATTTTTGTTTGAAACATGATTTTAGATCATATTTTGGTGAAATAAATATAACAGGAAATACGCATGATCAAAGTGCAAAAACAAAGATTCGACTTAAGGAAATTGAAGAAAAATCAGATGATGCTTTTGTTTTTCTTTCCGATGTTTGGCTCGATGATAAAAAGGTAGATTGAGGATAATTAAAAGGTATTTAACTCTTGTCATGAGTATCTTTAAGGTAATGGAACGTATCGAACAATTATTTGATGGATTTGCCGAACAACCACCATTTGCATTTATATTTTGTGGTAATTTTCTGTCACGACCAACAGCTAATTTATATATTAATGATCTCTCAGGTAATATATTTCTTTTAGCATCTAAATAAACTATTTCCTAATTTTTGTTTATTATTGCAGATGCTTTTAAAAGTTTTGCTAAACTTGTTGCAAAATATCCTGATATTTGTGAACGTGCTCATTTTATTTTTGTACCTGGTCCACAAGATCGACATGCACCAAAAATCTATCCTCGGTTTAATTAACTTTCCTTCACAAAACAAAACTTAAACTAAAAACTTTAATCGATTTTAGAGCACCCTTTCCACCATCAATCAATGATATATTAAAAAAACGTATTCGTCATCTTCATCTTGCTACAAATCCTGTTCGTATTCAGTATTGTACTCAAGAAATAGTTATTTTTCGTGAAGATTTATTACAAAAACTTTGTCGTTACTGTATTAAATTACCTTCGGATAATTTACCTATGCATGTAAGACCTTCCTTCCTTTCGTATCATTGTTTTGAAAAACAAAAACAACATATTTTTTAGCTTTGTCATACACTTGTTACTCAAGCACATTTATCACCATTACCTGTTTCTATGACACCGATTTATTGGTCTTTTGATCATACACTTCATTTATATCCATTACCAGATTTAATTGTTGTTTGTGATAAATTTAAATCGATTACTGATACAATTGCCGATTGCACCATTATTAATCCAGTAAGTAATAATTATTCTAAAAAAAAAATTTAAAAAAATATTTTATTTGAATAGGGTTCATTTGCAATCAATAAATATTGTTTCAAAGTGTATCTACCTGCAACACGCGAAATCGAAGACAGTCAGATTACTAATATGTAAATTGTCATTTAGATATATATATATATATGTGAAGAAAAAAAAAATATTTTTTATTATGAATAGAAGTCTGAACATTTTCATGTGCAATGTAATTTGTTAGATTCTCTTTGTAGATTAAGTAAATAATGGCTGTTAATAGCCGCCCCAGTCTTGATGTTCTTGTACCATTAGTAATGATAGAAAATAATATAACAAATGATAATAATGATAATTTACCTTGTGAACCACCAAAAGGTTTGAAAAATAGTTCGAGTTTAATTATGAAAAATTGATTTATTTTTAGAAGTGCTTCGTCATTTTGATTCAGGTGATATTGTTCTGGTTCAATTAGATTCACAATGTTTACCTGCAATTGTCTTCAACATCAGTGGTCTTGTCATGAAATTCGATAGTAAGATAAAATTGAATAAAGACAAAGAATTTTCGAATATGGTTATGCCATATCTAGTTGATCGGCAATTGTATCATGTTTGTTTATTGGATAAGGAATGTACAGAACAATGGGTTGATGCAATGAATATGATCATCTATTCAGTACCAGTATGTCAATATATCCTATTAGCTTTATAAAAGAAATTAACAAAGTATTTATTTTCAGATGATAGCAGAATGTGAAAATGAACAAGTAACTCTTATGTGGTCTACAGCGAATGAACTTCTTGAAATTTCTAATAATGATGATGATAAAACTCGGCTTGAAGAATTTAAAAGACGATTTAGTGAAGCTAGACACCAAAAAGCACCTCTTTTATCTATGAATACTTCGAAAAAAAACAAACAAAGTCATACTTCAAATCAAAAAGTTTCTACACAGGTTATATGTTCTTCTTTCTTTTGGGCTTATCATTCGTTTTCTTTTTCAGATAGCTTATGCTCCATTAACAACTTGTGAAGAATTACACATTATTGATTCTATTTATCGATTACCACAATGTACATATGCTGAAGCAAAGCGCACAGCTGAAGATACTTATATGAAAATTGTTTGCACGAATAATCGTGAAAATATTCACTCATGTTCAATGGGAGTCATTTCTGATCAATGGTTCCTCACATTTGCTATTCAAAAAATTGATTATTTTCGACAGTATTCGACTATTTGGTTACCAGATCTCGAAGGAATGGTAGATATCATTGAGAGTGAAAAAGAATTACATTCGTTAATCTCATTGATGAAAAAATAAGTCTAATGTATTTTTTTGTTTCATTCTCTATTTATGTCATTTGTTTGTGTTCTTCTTATTGACTATCTCAGGCTTGTGTTTTCTTCTTTATTTACTTTGTGACGTGTAAAATAACTAGAAGACAATAGTAAGTTTCATCTGTCTTCTTTTTAATAGAAACCATGCTGAAAAAAATAAGAAAAAGCTATAAAGATAGTCAGTGAATTATGCAACATCGTCCAAAATGCAGAATAGGAACGATGTTAACTTCCATTTCAGCAAAATTGCGCTAAAACTGTAATTTTCAGCGTGTCTTCTATCATTTTTCATGGGAAATAGGAATCTATTGCGTGACTACTATTGCTAAACACAATTGAGTTATGATAGACATAGACGAGTTGTCTCGACTAATGTTAAGTTTCACTAGTGTCTTGTACGTATACGAGTTTTCGCTATCGGACTCTGACTAAAGCTAATCCACCTGCAGCTAACACTTTCACAATCGAAGGATGATTTTCCAACTTTAATTTTATATGAAAAAGTATACTATTTAGTTTCTTTCATAATCAGCAACAAAAAAAACAAGTGCATCAAGTGTGTCTAGATTCAATTAGTTTCTTGTTACTTCTAAAATTCGATTAATTTCGCTAAGTCTACTTTTGCTTGTTGTTAATAACGCTGAAATGGAATGAAGTATTGGTGCCAAACATCATAATTGTGGATACATACATGAATATTTTTACCATCATAATGATACATGTTCATCTTTTAAATAATTCATTTGCTCTCGATGCATTCAGTCATTTCATTATATAATTTGTCATCATCTTCAGATAAATCCTCATTAAAGACGAAGTCTTCGAGTAAAACAATATCAATTTCTATTTCTGTGACCTGTTCTCAAATACAATAAATTGTTCATGCAGGATCGACCTAGCTTTCACTCCTGGGTATGGCCAGCTAACTCTGCTACCGGAGTGAAATTCCGTAACGTTTTTCGCTTATTTTGTTTCCTCGATAAATATCAGGCAGTAGCACCTAAAGAGTTGCGAGACGTCTTAAATTAAAGAGGAAAGTCTTGTACATATTCTAAGATATTTTTCGCTTTTGGAACGTTTGTCGTTTCCAAGATATAATTAAAAAACTGATAACTACTTTTCAATTCTGAAAATTATTATTTTTTCAAAAGTGGTGTTCAATTCTTTTGTTATATCTTGGAAACGACAAATGTTCCAAAAGCGAAAAATATCTTAAAATATGTACAAGACTTTTCTCTTTAATTTAAGACGTCTCGCAACTCTTCACGTGCTACTGCCAGATATTTATCGAGAAAACAAAATAAGCGAAAAACGTTACGGAATTTCACTCCGGTAGCAGAGTTAGCTGGCCATACCCTCCTATGTTTTTATATAAATTAACAATTGAAAAAAGGAAAAATATTTTGAAAGATCGAGGTTTCACTAATTGATGACTCGTGCCTGAGCTTGAGACCATGACTAGCGCCCGGACTCATGCTTCGGATCAGCTCTAGTGTCTGATCGGGTTGCAAAACACTAGGTTTCACTGATGCAACAATATCTACTATTTATTTTTCTTAGATTTTGGTTTTAGAAAAGAACAGAAATATCTTGTCTTGTACTGTTGATACACTATCAAGATCGACTGACAGTATTGATTCAAGTTGTTTTCCAGAAACTAAAAATAGAATTCGTGTATACTAGAATATTGAATATAAGATAGAATTTTATCTGATTGATAAATTAAATATTTCATTATTATTTGATATTGACGATATCTTACGTTCACAGAATACATGAAGCATATCGAATATTCACCAAATGTTTGAAATTGAGAACGATAGAAAAAATAGTTTATTGATTAAATCGGAACAAGAACATCGATCATTTAATTTTGTTTTCTCATTGGTGCAGTCAGTGGTCTTACAAAAAAAGTAAAATTTAAAAAATCCTTATTAACAATTAACGAAACAAAGCGTGTTTTTCGATTAAGTTCAGACTTGTATATGTGAATCAATACTCCTTGAAAAAAAGACGATAAGGACGATTACTTTGCTAAACAACACGGAAGTCTTTCGAGTTAAAATGATATCGGTATTCTTTTCGTACTGTGAGATAGAAAGAAAGAAAAAATTCTTATCGATTATGTCGCTATTGTTATTTGTGTTTTGGTTCTTGTTACGAATTCGTGATGATCTTATTAGTGATGTTGGATTACAGTTCCGTTTTACTTTTTTATGTAGCCTCGTTGCTGTAGATTCGATCATATTGTTATTAATGATGTTGTCATCATCACTTTCAACACTGCATTGTTGTTGATTGATCGATTGATGAAATGCAGTTTTTGATGCAACATGCTCATGCATATTTCATATGCATTGTCTTTTTGTCTTACGAATATGTTTGTCCGTCATCGTTACAAGGGATTTAGTAGGATACGTTAAATTGCATATGTTTGACGATAAGATCTTTAGTTTGGAAAATGTTAGTAAAGCCTTCGACGCTTTAGAAGACCTCCTCGAACAGTTGATCTTTTTCGTTTTACGATCATAGTTATACTTTTTATTTCTATATGTATATTTCTAATCTTTGCTTCCACAGTTTCTCATTCGATATATTGTGAATAGGTATCTTATCTCACTATCAATAATAAATTTAGCTTTATCATTTCTCTATTTTCATAATAAATGCAAAAGTAAAAATTTTTCTCTTGTTTCCAGTGCGTATCAATGAAATCGAATCTTTTTGTACAAAACAACTGTTAATTAAAACAACAATTTCAAATTTGAAATTTCAAAAAGAATTCTTTCATGAAACTACTGTTTTTCATTTGTACAACTGTACAAAATCCAAGGGGGAAAAAGCTCATTCCGAGCCATTCGAATGGCTCGGAATGGATTGGAATGGCTGGGAATGGCTCGGAATGCCCGAATGAGATTTTCCCCCCTTGCGTATATTACTATCTATACAAGCAGTTAATCAGCGGTATTTTAGCGGAGTTTTTGGAATACTGCCAATAAACTGACGATAGTTCCATTGTTCAGCGATATGATCAGAAGTCGGACCTACTGATTCGTAGTCGTATGATTCTAAGAACAAATGTAAAGTGCCCTAGACAACAAATTAGCTAAGTGAATTTTTTAGACAAGAAGTCCTCCATATTTTTAAATTTATATGTCGTAAATTGTTGTGAGTGAAATCTATAACCACTATTCACATTTGTCTCAGAAACAGTTAGATTTCACTCAAAAACGACTTACGATATATAAATATAAAAAATAAGACGATTTTCTATCAACAAAATTCACTAAACCACTTTATTGTCTAGGATAATTTATATTTATTCTTACGTTCGTAAAGCTACGAATTGTAGATATGATTAGCACTCATTGATTCTACTTTGCTTCATGGTGTTGATGACTAGACAGTGTTCATTTGTTCTAAATAAAAGAAAAAAAATAATTTGTATAAATAAATACGTACTTTTTCTTTGTATGCTGTGTTTGGTCTCAGTAAAAGAATAAAAAAATAATAATAATTTGTATAATAAATGTTTACTGTTCATTGTGATGTTAAGGTTGATCTAATTAAAAACAAAGTAATAATAATTTTTTTAACTAAATGCTTACTGTTTAGTTTGATTTGCAGATCGATCTAAATAAAAGAAAAAATATGGATAGATTAATATCCCATATACTTCGATACTTTTGTGACTGTTGATATACCGTCAGTATACCGACGATAGCTGAAGTAAATATATAACAAGGGTGACATAGAAAAGAAAAGAATTTTGAGACTACTGTCGATTATAATCTCATAAAGGAATACGATTTTAATCATCTTTTAATCAAATAGTAATCGATTTCAATCTATTTTTACCTCCCTTTCTTTACCTTAGGAAATACCAGATAGACTGAGAAACGCTAGTCTATATTTTTTATCTTAACGAAAAACAATTACCATCCATTGAAAAGATAAAAGTCCTTTTGTTCAGAGAAAAGTGATGCATGAAGATAGTTAAATCTACCTAAAGCCAACTGAGAGATAGAAAAGTGACGTATACTATCCGAATGTAGCATAAGTTTGATGTTCTTTTGCTTGACTAGTAAAGTCCTTCTATTTACTACCAGACATTAGGTTAAGTGGGCATTATAGAGGTCTTTGAAAGCCCTCATATTGCCAAGCATAACTTACGACGGTAATAGGTCACTTGAGCCTACGACAGGTGAGTCCTTAACATTTGAGCACCAGACATTTGAGTCTCGTAACATCTGAGCCTTGAAAGTTTGAGCCTCAGGCTAAAAACAATCCATTTTAACTTTTAAAAAATTCTAAAATCCACAACTTTTAAAAAAATAAAATTTTTAAAATTATTTTAACATAAATCTAATTTATTTTGACAAGGATTTAAACTTAAAATAAAATAAGATGTTGTTGTGAATGTAGGCATTTGAACGAGTCGTTACTTGGAAGATCATAGATGGAGGTCAGGAGAGCTCATGGATAGGTCATACTCTGCACTAAAATGCCATTTCTCTTATAAATATGCAAACACAAGTAGCTCGCTTGAAGTTTTTGTTCCGAAAAAAATGCTTGTAGGAGTTAAATTTAGTAACGGCATTTTCAGTTTTTTTTAGATTTAAATTCTTAGCAATTCATTTTTAGAATAATTCTTTTTATTTGTATATAAAATTTTGTTTCAAGTTGTTTTACACTTTATTATATCTAAATTTTTTAAAATTTATTTAAAAATTAACTTTTTTGTTCAAATTGTAGATTTAAGAATTTTTTAAAAGTTATAATTGATTGTTCTTAGTGCGAGGCTCATGTGTGAACACTCAACTGTCGGGCTCAACTATCTATGTACCACTTACGACAGTTTCTCGACTTTATCAATAAGAAAATGTTGTTATGTAGCGACGTCCTAAAGCTGATCATGATCCTATGTTTTTTCTATTTAAGGAAAACAGGTCACAAACGTTACTGACTATTTACGATAGAAAA